ATGTGAATTACTAATGGTCACACATGTGTAAATAGCTTGGAAAATCAAGAGGCTCAGCATGTAATTGAGGGATATGGCACGGCTGTGGCATGAAGAAAAGTCTACTGGTTACTAATCAATCAGGAAACCCTTGTGGCTAATAGCAGTGCTGTTTCCTCATACAGCTTCCCAGTGCTTGTGCAGAGAGGGATCTGGTGTTTATATGGGGACATGAACTCCATAGGATTAGGGTCTTATTGATCTTGGGGAACCATAATTAGTCTCCTAAAAGACATATATCCAAATAGTCATACTGGGAGTTAGGCCTTCCAAGGATCAATTCTGAAGGGATACAAGTGAACCCCTAACATTTTGCTACTCCTGCAACATATCCAGCTCCTGGTCTCTGCATAACACCACCAAATAATCAATTTTCCATTTTTCTCCTCTATTCATAACCTCTTTGGCTAGTCCTTGTTTCTCTGCAAGCTTTCGGATCAACCTGTTGTGGAAATCTTTCCTGACTTCCTCAGGCAAGAAGATGGTGCTGCATGCCTCACCTCCCATGCAGCATTATTGTTTCCCATACCTCATTCCCAATGCAGCATTACCATGCTCCATACCCAACCCTCAATGCAGCATTATCATGCCCCATATCCAATCCCCAATGTAGCATTACCATGCCCCATATTCAATCACCAATGCAGCATTACCATGCCCCATATACAACTTCCAATACAGCATTATCATGCCCATTCCCAATCTCTAACACACCATTACTATGTCTTGCACCTAATGTCCAATGTAGCATCTCTATGTCCTGTACCTGACATCTACAGCAGAGTTATCGTGTTAGAAACTAATTTTCCATATAATGACAGACATGGGATACTACTACACATTCATTTTTCTTCCCTTCCAAACTTTGGATCTGAACTTAGCCTTGGTCTATTGGTTGGGATCTTAATAGAAGGACTAGCTAATAACAGTCTGATCCACAGTTGAAGGCTAAGGAGGAGAAGCAGTGACGCTAGTTAACATCAGATAAAACTGTCAGATCGAGACTCAGGATTCCCTTATGAGGGGGTGTGCCTTCAAGACAACACACTAGCCTACTGGACCAGTTACTTAAACCCCACTTCTGTCTCCTGGAGTCACTGACTTCAGGCCATATTCCAGTGTGTACCCCAAATACAAAGGTGTAAAAGGACTTCTAAGTTCGTGCTTGATCCTTTCTCTTCACTTGCCTTGTCCACCAGGTAATATGGCTCAAGACAGCAGAAAAATCTAGTTGCTCTTACTCCCCACCCCCAACAGAAACTGTCCGCAGACTCCCAAACTGCGGAGTTCACTCATAACATTGCTCTGGGGGTTTGCCTCCAAGGATACCTCTTGTCTAAAATAGACAGTTTAGAAGTGATTTCATCGTGTCACTTTGCAAGCAGATGACAGGGTCCATCTATCAGGACAGGTGGCAAGAGGAAGTGAGTTAATGCATGTAAAACCACTCAGAAGTGGTGTTTGGCATTTAGTAAATACTCCCAATATTCCTCTATAAAAATTCTTGAATTCTGTGACCTCTTTCAAAACACATCTTTTCTATGGATGATGAAATTTTGCTTAGGGCCCCAAACTAGAAACTTTCGACAAGATTGCTTTGCTGCACAAAATGAGTTGCTTAAAAAAAAGAGGGGGATGGATGGGTGAAGAGGAAGCCATGCAGATAAACACAACTCTTCAGCCCTCTTCTTTCAGAACGGAAGATCTTTTTCACAGTTTGTTTCTTCCTTTAAGGAAGACAGAGAAGCCTCACGTTTCCAGAAGTTCAAGTCATCCACTCAGTAGTTAGCACTTCAAGATATTAAATTTCTACAGGTCGAAGTGGAGGAATGTTTTCTTGGTGCAGTCTTGAGGCCAGTAAGCCTATTTGGTCAGGCTGACCATGGGAACTTTTCTTGGCTCCGGATTCAGCTAAGCAGTGGCTTAGTGAGATATTTGCAACAATCACTGCAGACAGAAATTTATCTTATTTTTTCATCCCTTTCGGTCACACTGGTAAAACAGTGTTATCAGTTTTATTTGGGATGGTCACAAGAACTTAGGAACACTATGCTTCAATGAAAATAAATTCTGCAATACTTCAAGCTGAGATTACATTTCAAGTTAGAGACTTGGGTCATTTGTGACTTTTACCTTCTTCCTCATGCCTGGTTACAGAAATCCCTTGGATCTATTTAATTGGATCTTATACTCTCTAAGGTTACAGTGGCTTAAGTCAACCTCTTACACTGTAATCAATGCAATACTCTTAAATGGCCTCTTACTCCCAATCCTTCTTTTCCTAGCCTCTCTTCACATGCACAGCTATATGATCCCTTTAAAGGTTGCTATTATCATACCAAGCCATTCTTCTGTTCAACACCTACCTGCAGCTCTACTGTGGATATTGCTCTGTATAAATAAAATGCCGACTGGCCAGTAGCCAGGCAGGAAGCATAGGCAGGACAAGCAGAGAAGAGAATTCTGGGAACATGAAAACTGAGTCAGAGAGATGCTGCCAGCCACCGCCATGACAAGTGAGATGTAAGGTATAGGTAAGCCATGAGCGACGTGGCAACTTATAGACTAATAGAAATGGGTTAATTTAAGATGTAAGAAAAGTTAGCAAGAAGCCTGAGTCATTAGGCCAAACAGTTTAAATAATATAAGTGTCTGTGTGTTTATTTTATAAGTGGGCTGAAGGACTGCCAGGGCTTGGTGGGACGCAGAAAGAAGCTCTCCAGCTACACAGCTCTTCATTTTCTTCGAAGTCAAGTCTCTTATAGTAGCCCTGTATTCTCTAGGCCACCTTCTGGCCAACCAATCTTCTTCCCACATACACTCTGTGACCAAGCACACACCAGTTCTAGCTGCAAGCTACCTCTTTTGTTCTGTTCTCTGTGAGGATCATTTGAATGACCAACTCAAATATGCACACACCTGCACACAGCCCGAGTCTCCTAGTCCATGCTTTAGTTTCTCCATAGGATCTACTCTCCAACATGGGAATGCCCCAATGCAGTCACTGAAGTTGCTCACTAGTGCCCACGTGTTAGTGATGCCTGCACCTTAGAGAAGTACTGCTTTGACAATCTCACCTGTGTCTCCCACTCTTTTTTATATGGACAGGGCTAGCCCACTCAAGCTTTAAGGTCACTAGACAAAGTATCTCTGAAAGCACAGAAAGTTGAGTCCCACTGCTGGAGTGTCTGACTGATACAGCCGAGAAAGGACCTGAGAACTACATTTCTAACAAGCATCCTTGAGAAACACTAATCAAATATAACATGTGATAACTTTTATTAAAGATGGCCATTTCCTCTCCCTTAGAATGTAAACTGATACTTTACATTCTGCCATCTGCTCTTGAAAGAATACCAGAAACAAAGCAGCAGCTTAATCAAAACATGTTAAATAAGTGAAAAACTTATAGGGAGAAATACATACAAAGACATTAAATATAGTTCAACCCCTCCCCTGCAAGCAAGCATTTCCTGATTATTTGAAAAATAAATTACCATTAGTATTTTGCATCATTTTAAAGCATCCAAATGAATAATTGACATGTATAAAGAATGCTACTGTGTGCTAAGCACCTTGAACACGGCATTTCATATAATTCTACAACCAAACTCTAGTGGTGCCCTTTCCATCTTACAGAGAGGGGCTCTGGCTTGTACCAGTGTCCTTCTGTCACCTGGGAGTGAAACAGGAAGTGACAGTTTTACTTCCAATGTGCAAACATGTCTATGTTTTCATTAAAATTTGCCACATTATATTTATGCCTGTTGAGAAGACCAATCATCCCAGAATTTTTTAATTCTGATGTTCTATAGAACCATAACAGAGCTCTGGATTACCAGACATAAATGCTGAGCCAGAGTAATGTTTACTTCATGAGAGATGTATTTCGTGGATTCTTTGTGATGATGTTGACAGTTGAGTCACTGTGTCTATCCATTCTACAAACTGTGCACAGTATGTACTACTGTGGAGGAAAACTGACACCAACAAGAACGAGTTGGTGATTCTTCTTCTCTCAAGCAAGTTAGAAGAGATTTTCAGTCCATTTTTTTCCTTAAAGGGCTAGACAGTAAACATTCAGACTTACAAGCTATATAACTCGCAATTGTGAAAGCCATCAAGACAAAATATAAATGAATGGGTATGGTGTTATTCAAGTAAGAGCCTATATGACAGGGTTATATAGCCTGTTGTCCTGTGTTAAACACATATTATGTGCCATGTCCTGATGTCCCTCTGTTAAGAGAGTCTATGGGCCATGTCCTGATGTCCCTCTGTTAGCAGAGTCTATGGGCCATGTCCTGCCCTCCCCTGTGATAAATGAGTCTATGTCCCCTACTCTACAGAATTCTAATCCAAATAGCAAAATTGAAACAGACTGGACAAATTTCAGGTGAATCAAATTCACCTTTTAATTAATAACGTAATAAAAAAGATATTTCTATGGTGCAAATTCACAACATGGTTGCCTCTGCAGCACACTGAAAAAAGTGAAAAGAACCCTTGTATCAATGTTCACACAACGCACCTGCAGGTGGTGCAATACCCCTAAAAAACTTATCAACTTAACCAGGACCCCCAAGTCCTCTGGCCTGCTTTATCCCCTCTCTACAATTCCACAAGAGCAGAAGAGCATCTTTAAAGCACTGTCCAGTTTGCAAGCATTTGGAGAAAATTCCTTTCTTCATTTCCTAATACATGAATCAAGTGCTACTGAAGGATACTAATCCACTGTACGTGTCATTGGGTAGGAGGAAGTCAGAGGAAGCCAGTGTCACTTTTCAGTAATCAAGTTATTTTTCTATCTCTCCACCTTGTATTTACTTCAATGACCTTGGTTTTTGCCCAATTATAGCTAAACATGAATATAAGCTGCATTTCATCTCTGTTATCATTTACCATTTGTGGATGTTCACATTTGCCTTACAAATTCGAAGGGAGTAAAAAAAGCCAGGATCTCCAATCCAGAATATTCTGGCAATCTTTATTAAAAGTTTAATTTAGAATATTATAGCAACATAATATGGTTTGTCCAAATATTACAGATTTTTCAAAAACTTCCTTTAGTGTATATAAATTAAGAAAGCTTATACCCGACATGATTTTCTACAGGGACATTTTCATTTTTTGAAGCAGGGTTCAATGCTAACATCAGCTCTTATATACTCGGAGATTACTGGACCCACTAAGTGGACAATGACAACTGGCTGAGGCAGCTGAAGAATGCTTCCCTAGGAATCGGAAGCACAGAGGAGTCATTCATTGTCTTACTCAGTGGAACTGCAGTCTTCTGTCAATCCATGCTCCTGGAAGGCTGAGGAAAGTGCGATGGACTGTTAGTTCTAGATGTTGACAGCACATGCTTGCACACGCAGAGGCTTTACTCCCTGCCCGTGGTCAGCAGCCTGAGAGCCTTCTGGAGGTTCTGCACCGCAGTGCCCACATCTTCATACTGCAGGGCACTGCCAGCGTATTTGCAGTACTTCTGAGCTCTAGCGAAATCCTCTGGGGTCAGGCGGACATCCCCTACAAGAAGCACATCCAGACACACCACAGATTACATCATACTGTGCTTACCTAAGTAGGTACCTATTCACACTCACGGTGAACAACATATTCATGCTTATGTAGAAAGGCCAAGCTTCATTTTGCTACTTATATAAACCAGATAGATGGTAATAAAAATAATTCACATGCATACAATTTTCCATCAATAAATAACAAACCAGAAGTCTGTATTTTAGCAAATTAACTGTGAGGGGGAGAGAGACTGGCTGTGTGAAACAAGAAAGGCAGCTTAGTGTTTATACTACACTGCTGAGGTTCTCTTCATGGAACACCACAGACAGACTAAACCCTTTAGCCCTCATTTGAGCTGGAATACAAATACATCCTCCAATAAAAGGAGGGGGTGGGATAGCATACTCTGAGAAGAACATTATCATTTTTTAAGCATTAAAATATTCTACATTTTGCTTCAGTCATATAAAAAAACCTTTAGGCTATCCCCCCAAAATTCTTATCATTAAAACACACAACTAAACATGAAAATAGTCATTACAAAATCATACTCCAAAATTTATTTCCAGCAGTTTCCTACTTACAGATGAGTAATATGCAAGAATCCAACTAAATAATTTTGGTAAAAATACGTTATTCACTTAATCTGGGGCTGGAGAGATGGCTCAAGAGGTTAAGAGCACTGGCTGCTCTTCCAGAGGTCCTGAGTTCAATTCCCAGCAACCACATGGTGGCTCACAACCATCTATAATGAGATCT